TGGCATGGCCATCCCCTTGGGAAGTGATTTCTCATTTTATGTCTCTCTGTCTTACTGGCAAGTACACACAAAAACCTCTCAAAAAAAAAAAGAGATTTTTTTATAATTATAATGGTACCATAATTATATTTTCCTGAGTACTTTTCACTTAAAGATATTTACTGAGGGCATGATATTTAAAGGCACTGGATTCCCACATGGCCGACCACAGTTTCAGTCCCATACCTAGTGGCTTTCCTTCTCTCTTTCTCTCTCTCTGGCCAAATTAAAATAATAATAATAATAACTAATAGAATTAAATGAATAAATCTTAAAAAATAAAGATATTTAGGGTACATTTTATGAAAGATATGTGAGAGATTTATTCTTAAGTAATCCACTGTGCATGAGGAGGGAGTGGTCATTTGTTAATAATCTTTGAACCTGAATAATAGGTACATATGGGTTCATTTTGCCATTTCCCATTTTGTATGTTTGAAATTTCCCACAAAAATAAAACTGAGACATACTTTGTTGATGCTCTTGTATTTATCGAAATTGGTTATGGAAGGGAGGGAGGAGTAATCTATGAACAGTCTATGAGAGTGCAAAATCCTAGAAGACACGTAATTTCTAACAGCCAGAACTGAGGAAGACAAGGCAGCATTAACAAGGCTGCACTACAGACCTTGGGAAAGTTACATCAGGATGTGAATCCTATATAAAGTGCCTAAGAATCAATTACCGTGTCACAGAGATATTGGCTCACCAGTGCTTGAGTGAGAAATAAGTTCAAGGACATGTCCAACACAGAATAACACTGGCATAAAATGGAAAGCTGTTCCTTTCTCACCTGAATTAAATCCTTGGTGAGTGATTCAGGGCTGATTCGGCAGTTCTGTAACCTTTAAGGATTCCCATAGCCTTCAGCAGCCCAGGTTCATCCCCAAACCTTCACTCCCTCTTTCTTGTTGTCCAAGTGTCTGCATTCCAAGGGCAGGAATGAAGGAAGAAACCAAGCAGTGACAGAGAGAGAGAGAGAGAGAGAGAGAGAGAGCCAGCTATCTCTATCTCTCTCCCTTTCTCTCAAGGTTATTTTCTTAATTTTTGTTTTAATGCATTATAGGGCCTATCCACTTCCCAGAAAGACAAAGCGAGAAAGTGAGAAAGCAACCCCCCAGGGGAGATAGCCACACCACAGTCCCTTCTCCCCTAGGGATTTTAGGCATGCACATACACACATCAGTCATGTTTTTCAAGTTGTGGTGTCTGGACCTCAAACAGCCAATTGGCCATATAGGATCCAACTACCATGCCACTGGATGGTCCTACCATCTGTCTTTTATGGAAAATTCTTAGAAGTCATCTTAAGAGCTGATAACTAGGCCACATATAACACCAATATGTCACATTACAGAGCCAGGACAGAATCTGCCACTCACTTAGGGGGTCAAAAGGGGCAGCATGCCACCAAACTCAAGGTCAGCATTTACAGGCTGCCCAAAGAGCTCTTCAGAAACGGTTCCTGCATCTGAGACTCGAGAGGCATGGTCGGCCACATGGGCTCCTGCGCCCTTAACCACCAAGCCACTAGCTGGTCCAGTGAAGCTGTTTTATATACTTTTGGTTATTATCGGGGTATCAGAATTAGTGATATAAATATTTTTTATATAATTTTTAAAATTTGTTTTATACATTCAATCACATATGTCACTTAGCTTGTAAAGTGAATGTTCCAACATGAATGTATTTCTCACCAGTCCAGTTGGGGATACTATACACATTATCAATAAATAATACCCCATCTCTTTGTCCCGTAAATGCTTATCTCTCTATTTTTCTCCTTAATGTTATAGAAATCTTGTATTCTAGCTTGAGTGTAGAAATGGTAGTAGGAGGCAAGAGTGCCTATGATGGTATAGATCACAAATAGTAACACTGGTTCAGAACAAGCTAACTTCTGTAGTGCAGCAATGAAATCCCAGGTGAGTTTTGCTACACTGATGTACTCCCCATTAAGACCACCCAATCTCCCTTATTTCTTCCTCCTTTCTCTTTAGTGTACAAGTTAAAAAACAAACAAAAACAGGAACTGGACTTTAAACAAGAATAGAAGAACTGGGACCAGCAGTTAGCGTAATGGCTATGTCACTGGACTCCCACGTAGTCGACCACAGTTTGAGTCCCAGACTCGGTGGCTTCACACCAGGCGCGTGTGCGTGCATGCCGAAGATCCCGAGAGGAGAATAGAGAAGGGATTGCAGCGTGGCCATCCCCCCTGGGGGGTGATTTCTCGCTTTCTGTCTCTCTGTCTCTGCCTGTCTGTCTGGCAAGCGCACGCACCCTATAGCAAAAACCTCTCAAAAAAATAAATAAATAAAGACTAAAGTACAGAGTTGTTAAAGCTTTTGTTATGGAAAAAAAAGTGGTATAGGGTCAGATCTCCTATGGAATCTTTTTTTTAAACACTAATTCTTAAATCATCATAACAAGATTAGCTTTTTATATCATTAAAGGAAAAACGCTTGCATAGAAACCCAGACATCAGGATCGAGCACACTCTGTGTCCTTTAGTCCACCTGGTTCTCAAAGCAGCACTTGGAAATTTGTTACAAAAGCAAATTCTTGGGTCTGGCCTAGACTTACTGAACCTATCCAGAGGACTCTGATCCCACCACAGAATTCTGGTGCGCATTAAAAGTTTGGAACAACACTCTAGTCCAGGGATTCTCAAGCCCCGCTGCACTTTTGGATTCATTTAGAAAAGTCAGAAATGTAACCTTGCCTCTTCCACCTCCAGAAATTCTGAGTTGATTGGTTTTGGCCACAGCAATATCCTCAAGTTCTCCCAGGTAATTCTAATGAGAAGCCAGGACTGCAAACCATAGCCTGCTCATGTTATCTTGACCTTTACAGTCAAATAAAAATTCTCAAAGAAACTACATCCCAGAGGCAGGGTCAAACTAGTAGGCCTCCCAACATCTGTAGTTTTTTTCTCTTCACGGTCTCTTTTCTGACCCAAGTAGAAAGGTTGCATTCCTCCACACTTTGGCTCCTGGCACACTATTAGCATACTCTGGCGCTGAATATACTTCTCATCTTCTTTCTTTCCTGGCATCTCCATTGGGATCCCTGCCTCACTCAGTCGTTAGTTTTTATCAGTCATCAAGCAGGGCTTAATCCAAGAATTTTAGGCAGAGAGAACATTGTATAGAGCATATTCGTGGGAAGTATCTGGTGGGTAAATATAAAGCAGATGAAAAAAAGAGTTCAGACCAAACTTTTATTTAAGGTTATTTGTTTATTTCATGAGAGATTTAGACAAGAGAAAGAGATACCAACACCCCTAGCCACAATCCACCTTAACCACAGCCAGCCACAATCACAGGCACATACATGTGTGTGTGCATGGCGAGCACATGGAGACCTTGGGACACAAACATCTCCATACTCCAACGTGTGAGAGTGGAGGAGGCTGGCTGTGGGTGAAACGGGGGAGGGACAGAGAACAGGAAATTAATTCACATGAATGGGGAAGGGCAAGTGGGACTCGATGCTTTCTATCACTTCATTAAGTAATTTAAACAGTCATTTTATAGTAAAAATTAGTCAACATGTAAAACTTCTCTCTAAAATATGAGTTAAAGCTTTTGATGAACTAGGATTTTAAAGAGGTCTCTAATACAATAAAGACTGTTAAATTAAAAGCTAGCCATCTTCAACTTAAAAATAACAGATGATGTCAATAATTGGCAACAAATTTTCAGCACATTCTTTTAGCAAGGCTCGGGAAAACAATGCGAATTGTCTTATTTAATCCTCACAAAATCTTAACGGTTGAGTTCATTGATCTCTTTACTGATTGGAAACGTGAGCCACAGAGAAGTTAGATAATTTGTCAGAGATCATAAAGCTAAAAGCACAGACTTCAGATTTGAGCCTCCAATCTCTGGCTTCCACAAGTCTGACAAGAAAGCTGCTGTACCTAGGACCAGAGAGGAACATGGGAGATGGCAACTGAGAGCATTCGTTCTGACCTGGTGGAATAGTCTGATACCAATAACTCTGAAAGCAAAACTCAGCAGCAGTGGCTTGACGTTGAACTTGCTGGGCGATGTTCTCTCAACTCAGTTACGTGAGGACTTTCGCAAGCAAAACTGCAACTGGTGAACAAAAGTTCAGGGATCCAGACTTCAAATCAGTCATTTCCCTCTTTATGTAATTGGTTCCTTTTGGTTCAGAGCCTTTTGCCAGTTTACATACTTGACATTGCGCCTATCAGCACCTTTTTGTCACATACACCATTTTGATGGCCATGCAATGGGCCAATTATTGAAAATGATAACGGATAATACCCATTACCACATGAATCACCATTAACACTTAGTCAAAATTCTTCACCTTTCAAAAAAATCTTAAGTGACTGTGTTTTAGAAAAAATAAAAATGGGAAACTTAGTATTTCCCCAGTAGCTACTAGTCTGTCTCTAAAATTTCAGACCATATCAAAACATCTCACAGTGGCTTTAATTTTTGTCTCTCTCCAGATGACTGCCATTAGCAATAATTGTATAGAACAGTGCTTGGAATTGGGGGTGGGGGAGAAGATATTGTTTCTACATACAAAATTTACTATCTAACTTACAACCGAATATTCTCCATCAGTTACTACAAAACAAGATGTATTGTCTCTAATCATCACATCTATTTGGCTGAGGCATATAATTATCCCCATTTAGAGACTAAGAAACTGAGGCTGAGTGGTTGATACTATCCCTAGAAGTCCCTTATTCATTTAGCTACAGCCCACAAAATCTATTTTAAAACTAGGAAAGTTTTCTAGCTGCAAGGTCTTCTAAATTTACTAAAAAAAGTATAAAATTGTTTTGTTATGGCGTCCACAAATATTAAAGTCTAGCAAATCTTTGCACTATAACCATTATCTCTTCCTTGGTCATTCTGGGCCTTCTCAGGTCAAAGGTCTCTCACCTTCCAGAGAGCTTCCAGGAAGGGCTGAACTTCTTACGAGCAAATGGTCAGGGGGGCGCCAGAACCAGCTTCTCCTGGCAGCTCAGGACAGAAGAATGGGCGCAAAGGTTCTGAAGTGTAGAAACAAGTGTATACACAAATGAAGGCATTGTTTCTAACATCAAAGAACTTGAGTTCTTCCATCTCAACATCCAGGAAGATCCCCACATGGGAAAGGCCAGAGCTTACAGGAATTCTTCTTGCTAGTATGGCATTGGTGTGAATTACTCCTGCCTTCATGCTGATGACCCAGTAGCCATGCTCAGGGGTTAAATCATTCTTCCTCTTCTTTCGGTTGACCGACTCTTTGCAGACACCCAGAGCCCACTCCTTGCCTTCTCCCACTTCAACCTCCCAGTAATGGCGACCGAAAGAGAAGGAAGGAGTGCCTAGGACACAGGCCAGGTAGGTAAATCTCCGAGGATTTTTCCTCCGTCTTTGGCAGATGTTCCTATAATGGACACTCCTTAGATCATTGGACAAGATGAGGAAGGAGTTGGCTGTGTCTGCATCCAAGGTCATGTCCTCCCGGAACTTCAGGAGTTCGTCACTCAAGTGCAGGCTTTGCTCCAGTAGGGGCCCATGCTGCTTGATGAGAAGGGCCAGTGATCTAATTTGCCATTCTTCCACAGGAGGTTTTTCACTTTCTCCTCGACACATAGGACACATCAATTTTGAATCTCCCCTTTCTAGCTGCCAATTTTGAATGCAATCCCAGCAGAAAATATGTGCACAGGAGAGAGAAACAGGATTGAAGAAAACATCCAGACAAATGGGACAGGTTGCCTCTGCTTGTAGACTTTTGGCCATGTTTCCTGAAGGTTGCTCCTTAGCCGTACAGTGAGCTGAAAAGACCCTTTATCAGCTTCTGGAAGTGAGCAGAAGCCTTCAGTAGACAATCTCTCTTCAATAATCAAAATGTACCTGAATGCAATACAAACAATTAAACACTATAAACATGTCTGTAGTTTATGTATGAAAGTTACTTAAGTCAGAAAATTATAGTAAAGTCTATGAGAAAAACTAACATCCAAGTAATCATAAGAGACAGTGTCTTTTCAGATGGGGAAACTTACCTTGCCTGGAGATTTTTAGATGAGGTGTTGCCTATTCTGACCAAAGCTGCTCTTTTCAATAGCCAAGTCCAATGGGATCTTTGATTGGATCTAGGAGTGGGATCTCCACCTGAATCAGGGTTTCTTTGTAGGTCACCTTCAAATTAAGAAAAAGGATTCCCAGGTCTAAATCCAATCATAAGACTAATGCTAGCCCTACCTTAATCATTGCAGAGAAGTGACTATGAGAAACCCTCAGAATTTCAAAGAAAATTATGAGTAAAACCAGCAAAATCCACTGCAAAACAAATGAGATGCCTGTGATAGAATCTATTTTAAGAACAAATATTAGGTGAAATACTTTAAAGCACTCTTAGAAGACTAATCACAATTTGAATGAATGTGAATAAAAACAGATTATAATCAAGACCAGCAGTTAGCATAATGGCTACATTGCTGGACTACCATGTAGTTGACCACGGTTCGAGTTCTGGACCCGGTGGCTTAAACTCAAGCTGGACATGTATACCAGACATGTGTGCATGTGTGTCCAAGATCTTCTGAATATAATCATGCCTAAACAGAAAGCAAAAAGATGTCCTTTGGTAAGGAAGAAGACCTCCAGTGACCCCAATTTCCTCAAAGCTTAAGAACCTGTAGTATTCCTAGATCCTCCTTCTAGGCCATCTTATCATTGCTGTTCTTTGAGTGAGCTGATTGCCGGTCTTGACTGGTTGGATCTAGCTGGTCTGTGATCTGAAGATGGCCGCTGAAGACTGGACCATGGCTATGAAATGGTGTGAACAAAGGGCTCTACTCCCAAAAGGGCCTACATCAAATAACTAGCATAACTTCTTACCAAAAATTCACCAACCACACATTAGTTACGGCTGGAGTAGCAGAATCAGAGACAGCAGAAAGAGTTGCAGGGTCCTCGTTACCACAGAGGAAATAACGGGCCCTGCTGAGGGGTCATAAACTGAGTCCCTTCCATCCAAATTTTTATTAAGAGGCTTCTGAGCTCTCAGCCTCAACTAGATTCTGGACATAAATTGATTAGCAAGTATAATAGACAGGATCTGCCCACACAAAATGTGGAGTCCTCAGAAGCCTGCAGTTCATGAATGACTAATGGTACTGCAGCCTGACCAGGCTTGCTGAGCCACTGGAGAGAGAAACTTCTTCCTTAATGCTCCTGTTAGCCCTTCAAAAAACTCTACCTTTTCAGGAAACCTAACATGGCACTGGCTCACTCACAATCTGAAAGAGCTTGCCTAGTCCACCTTAAAAGGTATCTAAGAAAAGGAGTTTAAAATAATAAACTGCTATATTTGTAAGAAGTTATTCATTGGTAACTATGATTCCAAACAATCAGCAACAATCTGTAACAGTAATTATAATACAAATGTAGGAACTATAATATATTTCAGTGAAAACCCAGAGAAAGTCTTTTAAAATGTTGGGGAAAAAAAAGGTTTCTTTTTATTTTCTTTGAGAGGTTTTCACTATAGGGCACCTGCGCTCGCCAGAAAGACAGAGAAAGACAGAAAGCGAGAAATCACCCCCCGACACACCCAGGGGAGATGGCCACGCCACAATCCCTTCTCCTCCATTCTCCTCTCGGGATCTGGGGCACACACGTACACATGCCCAGCGTGAGTTTAAGCCACCAGGTCCAGGACTCAAATCACAGCGACTACATGGGAGTCCAACGACATAGCTATTATGCCAACTGCTGGTCCCAAGAAACCATTTTTAAAGAACATATATTTTGTATGTAAAAATGCATGGATGTATGATGAGCAACCTGCAGTTAGTACATAAAAATTTAAATGGGCATGTTAGAGTAGAAGATGAAGAATGAGCACAGGACAAAACTGACTGTTTTCTTTAGAAATACAAAGGTAAAGGTATTAGACAAGCAAGTTCTAGATAAAGAGAGAGAGAAGGAACAGTGGAAATAGCCCAGACAGAACGGACACTCTACCTTGGCTCAGAGACTTTCCACAGCCGTCTGGAAGGACGTTGTCTGTGCCTCCACCTCTCCTGGCCTCAGCTCCTGAGAGAGTCTGAGTGAGCACAGATGCTCTGGCCTTTTATAGTACCTGAGACCAGATGAGCCAATCTTCAATTACAATTAGCGTTGTAGGCTCCACCCCAAAGCTTAGGCTATTTAAATCTGTTCAGGCAAACTCAATCAACGCTAGTCTTCAATGCAGGATAAGGTAATTAAAGCACTCTTACATTTTCATAGTTCAAAATTTACAGTTTCAAAATTTTATAGTAACTGAGTTAAACTAGCAAACCTGGAATCCGAGCATGATGGTACAATTTCAGAACTTAATCTTTTTAAATAAAATGTATTAGAGATTAGATATATAAGTGCTCTTTTGAAACCCAATCAAAGCTTGGCTTCTATAATCATTGAAGTTAATACCTCTGATACAATCATGAATGAAGAGGATCTAAAGCCGTTTGCACGTTCTTTGGCTCAGCAATTCCACTAGAGTATAGTCACTGGATGGGATAAGAAAGATGGCAGCAAGATAAGCTGATTCATGTGATAGAATTATTATTTTATTTTTATTTTTTTGGAAAGGTTTTTGCTACAGGGTGTGTGCACTCACCAGAAAAAAAGAGAGACAGAAAGCGAGAAATCACCCCCCAGGGGGGATGGCCACACCACAATCCCTTTTCCTCCATTCTTCTCTCGGGATATTGGGCACGCACGCATACACACCCAGCATGAGTTTAAGCCACCGGGTCCGTGACTCAAACTGCAGTTGACTACATGGGAGTCCAGCGACATAGCCATTACGCCAACTGCTGGTCCTGTGACAAAATTAATAATAAAAACGTTTTCTCTCAAAAGTATTCTTAAGTAATAGGTTATATGATGTCTGTGTGTACTGGAAGAAGGAGCAATAGAAGTAATGACAGAAGAAAACTAAGGCTCAGTCTCAAATGTAGGAGCTGGAGTATCAGTGAATTCCGGCTGCTGTGGGGCCCCATAAATAAACCTTTCCCCTGAGGTATTCTGTAATCTGAATAACTTCCCACTTCCTAGAGTCCCTGTTCTTTCTTCCAGGACAAACATATAGCTCTTACTATATTTTTCCCTGATGCTCTCTCCATTCCTACAAGTTCAATAGCTATAGATATACATCTCAAACTTTGTTTTGTTAGAAAGCAAGTGAGCTCAGGAGAGAGAAACAGAGAAAGGGACATGAGAAAGCACCCCCGCCTTATGGATAATGATCACACTGCAATCTTTTCATCTCCATTTCTTACTCATTTGGGGATTTTAGGCATACATACACACATGCCTGGCATGTTTCCGAAGCTGCAGGAGCTAGGACTCAAATCCAGTAGCCAGTCATGTGTGATCTGGCTGCCATAACCACCAGGCCATGGAACCAGCCCAAAACATTTTTATTTTCATCTCAAAACCCTTTACAGTTTTTTGTTTTGAAATTATTCAACATATCCTTTCAATACTTTCCCTTGTTTCATATTAAAATAATTTCAGGCTTATAAAAACTTTTCAGGACTAGTACAAAGAACCATATATGTATGACATTTCATACAGCTTTAGATTTTATGTTTTTAATTGATAAATGACAAATTATATATATATGTGTGTGTGTGTGTGTGTGTGTGGTAACCGACATGCTGCTTTAATATATGTATACATTTGAAATGATTAAATCAACCTAATGAACATAGCCATCACCTCACAGATTTTTTTGGTGATGAAATATCTAAAATCTCTCAGCAATTTTTAAGTATGCTATACATCACGATTAATAATAGTTACCATGATTTACAATAACTCCCCAGAAGCTGCTCCTCCTATTTGACTGAAAATGTGGATCCTTTAAACAACATCCTCCTAGTTTCTATCCTCACACCCGCCTCAGCCTCCAGTGACCACCATTCTACTCCACAATTTGATTTTTTTAGTTTCTACTTATAAGTGAAATCGTGCAATATTGGTCTTTGGTACCTGTTTTGTTGCACTAAAGCTTAACGTCTAGGCTTATCCAGGTTGTCACAAATGGCCCGATTCCTTTTTTTATGATTGAATATAATTCCATTTTATACATGTGTGTGTACGTCCATTTAGATAGACATCATTTTCTTTATGACTTTGTTCATTGATTAAGTGGATTCTATATATCTTGGCTATTGTGAATAATGCTACAGTGAACATGCAAGGGGTCTTCAGAAAGTTCATGACAAATGTATATTATTAAAGAACTGTGCATAGATTTGCAATTTTCTTTGCATCAAAATAAATTCATACCATAATTCCATTTTTCCATGAAGGTTTTGAAGTACCCTCATAGGAATATAGGTATTTCTTTGACATGCCAATGTCCTTTCTTTTGGATATATACTCTGGCATAGTATTGGTAGGTTATGTGGTAGCTCTATGTGCAGTTTCCTGAGGAATCTTCATACTTTTTCCTAAAATGATGTTGCCAGTTTACATTCCCACCAATGTAATACAAAGATGTTGTCTCCACATTCTCCACACAAGTGCTGTGTTTTTTGTGTGTTTGTGTTTGTTTTTTTGTTTTTTTTTTTTGAGAGGTTTTTGCTATAGGGCATGTGTGCTCGCCAGACAGACAGAGAGAGACAGAAAGACAGAAAGCAAGAAATCACCCCCCGGGGGGTGGCCACGCTGCAATCCCTTCTCCTCCATTCTCCTCTCAGGATCTTAGGCACACATACACATGTGCGCAGCATGAGTTTTAAGCCACCGGGTCCGGGACGCGAACCGCAGTTGACTACGTGCGAGTCCAGTGACATCACCATTACGCTAACTGCTGGCCCCCAGGTGCTGTGTTTTGATAAAAGCCATTTTTAGAGGTGTGAGATTATATCCTTTACACTTTTACACAGGCATAAGAATCCCCCAAAGTATGGGACCAGCAGGTGGTGTGGTGGTTAAGCGAGTTGGAATCCCACGTGGCTGACCATGGTTTGAATCCTGAACCTGGTGGCTTGCTTTCTCACTTTCCCCCTCTTTCTCACTCTGTCTCTCTCTGATCAAATTAAAATAAATAAAGTTTAAAATATAATTATTAAAAAAAAGAATCCCCAAAAGCTTGTCAAATATGAATCACATTTCTCCTTATTTACAGCATTAAAAATTAAAATGGAATTTTAAAATATTTATTTAACTAATTTAAAATTACAAAATCATTTTATGTTAACATAAATGACATGGCCTTATGAAAAACAAGATACCTATTTTCTGAAACAAAAGGCAATTAGTGAGAAGGATGTCATTGCTTCACACAATGTTATTGTTGAATTCAGGGAGAAAGGTCACTTTTTCAAATATCTGAAATTCTTGCTTAATAGAATACAGCTGCATTCTCACAACTTCTTTTGATCAATCTACTGCAATGTGTTGTTTTGACGGAAGTATGTGAAAAAAATTTGAATTTCCACTGATATTTAGAGGGAAAAGAGAGGACTTTGCAGATCCCTAAAAGAGTTTCAGGAACCCCCAGGACCCTTCTAAACATCATTTGAAGACCACTGATCTACAACGAATTCTATAATCTGAGTGGTGGCAGGAAATCTTAGTTTCTTGGTACTCGAAGAATCTAGCGAGGCACTTAACCATCTTTTTGTTTGCTGTTTCCATCTCAAAATTAGTTCATATGACATGGCTAAGTATAAATCATTTTTTTCTTTTCCCAATAAGGATGAAGTTCTTTTCATTTTTTTCATTTAGTTTATTTAACTGCATTAATGACACCAAATAAAATCCTCTCTACCGCTATCTACACAAAATAGGCCCTCAACAAATCATTATCGAATGACAAGAAAACACCATTTCTCATTGATTTTTGCATTTTCAGTCTGTTCTGCTTGTGTTTGAACATACACTGACTCGATGCAGCTGGGTCTTTGCCAGGATGACTGCTTCTTTTCCAAAAATATGTACTTTAGTTCCCATATTCCCCATTAGTAGACTAATATTGAATTCAGGAAGAAAGGTCACTTTTTAATTTTTTACGTGCTGGAAATATTTCAAGTCCCTTCTCTGTGATGTCTTAATATCTTATGATAACCTATCAAAAATGTGCATGAAGGTGTTTTTTTTAGAATGTATTTTAATTATCACTAGTGCTTCCAGGCATTAAGATAAAAATCATAAATTAAGCATGTTTCCATAGCTTCCTGATTAAAAAAGAAATTAACTTTTCACACACTAGTTACACCAGATAAGTTGCAGCCACCTAGGGGCGAAGGGCAGGAGGAGAGACTCATCGGCCTGGCCAGGAAACTCAGATGCCTACAAGGAGATGATGCCTCTGCTCACAACACAGTTTGCAGTTTTTCAGAAGGGGGCAGCTGTGGTGGGGCAGCTTTTCACAATTAGCCTCCACTCCCTGTTGTGGGATGGGTGCCAGTTTACAACTCCCTCTTTTCTTCAATCCGTGTCCTCTGCTCCTCTCTGCTGACTGGTTATGCATTAAAGTGGACCCTTCTGCCTCTCTGAGAGAAGACAGAGGGCACCTCTCTGAATTATTAATGCCATCAGAAACGCTAATGGAACTCCTGAGTTGTCCTCTTCAAAAAAAAGCCATGTTTTGCAGCTCTGGCAAGCTTTACAAAGATAATATTTTTGGCACTTGGAATAGAATGTTCCACTTCTAAACTTATTTTAGAGGACAAACTGACAAAAAATAAAAACTTCAGAGATGATTAGATTCCATAGCTTCATACTGATAATATATGGTCCCTATAGAACACTATTATTTAATCTCTTTGCTTATTTTTCCTTCCTCTGAATTGTATTTGTATGTATGTATGTGTATGTGTGTCAAAAATAGTGACAAATAATTGAATAATGAGTTTTATCCACATGGTTATTTATAGTTGCATAATAATTGGCAACAGGCCATCCTCAAGTAAGAGTTGTGCTCAGTCATCCCACATGGGTCACCCTTTTTTCACTGGTGGTTCCTCTCAGACCCTGAGCAGAGACAGAAGGGGATGGTAGGACTCCGAGTGAATGACAAGCTTGCAGGA